AGTAGACTCAATTTTCCAGAGTTGAAAATTTGAAAAGAATTCCCAGATGGAGTGGCAGAGCAGGTCTGGAGCCTCAGATATGATACAGCTGTGTATGGCTCAAGTGCTCATTTTCTCTCTCTCTCTCTCTCTCTCTCTCTCTCTCTCTACATACACACACACACACACACACACACACACACACAGCATTCACCCCTGAGAAGGTGTGCTCTGAGTCACACCTACTGTGGGTCGCCATGACCCACCTCAACTTGGGGCTGATTCACCCTTGCAGACCCAGGGAACACAAGCGAATTGGTTTAAAACAGATCCAGGAAATCAAAGTAAGATAATGAAATCAATCTGTGGCACTCTGTAATGAAGGCTGGATTGTGTATTTTACACTCATATTGCTTCCACATGGACACACACACTCATGTCCCATTGTGAGCAGCTGGTCTGGCTGGAGCATGCCCTATTCAAATATACATCCTGTTGCATGCTCTGACGTTGCTCCTTTCAATTGTCAACTTGATAGGATTAAGAAATGCATAATTCACTAAAGCCACTAAATTCACAAAACAGTGTTAGTGAAATGCACCTTTGAGTGTCTCTGTATGCTTCCACAGAGGATTAATGGAGAAGGGTAGTACTAATTCTGATTGTGGGCTGGTCCCCTTCTGAATAAAAAGGAAAAAGAGAAAACTTCCTGAGTTTCAGCATTCCCCCTTTCTCTGTATCCTGACCCATAGAGGTGTGAGGAAGCAGTCACCTGCTGCCATGGGCTCTGCCAGCCCCACTGTCACGCCTTCCAACCCCAGGGCGACTGTGTCCCCTTCCTTATCCATGAGCAAAAGAAATCTCTGCCCCCTCAAGTTGCTTCTTGCAGGTATTTGATCATAGCCAGGAGAGACATGAATACAGAAACATAGCACTCTGTTTAACCAATACTCTAGAGGGCCCCGCCCCTTAGCTACGAACAGTGCAACGCCGCAGTAGAAAGCACTTGGGAAAGGCACATCACACCTCCAGCTCAAGTTTATGATGTTGTGGTTCCCGGTGAACGTCAGCCTCTCCCTCTGTTGTCAAGCGGTAATTCACTACTGATCAGCAGCTATAAAATCTGATCACTCGGTGCAGAGAGAGTCAGAAAGGATTGCAGTAGAGATATTTAAGCAAACAGATTTTTAATCTAGATACCCCAACATTCACACAGACACCCTAAAGAAAGTCAAGATGGTGTTTGCTTCGTAGATTTTGCCTGCAGATGAAATTTTAACAGGCTGTGGGTTCCTCTGAGTTCCTGGGCACCTCCTGATGATTTCAGCATTTATATGCCAGATTTCTTAACAGAACATGCCTTTTATGTTCACCACAGGAAAGTCTGCCAAACACACACACACACACACACACACACACACCAGAAAATACAAAAGACATCAAATTGGCACTTTCCTCACCTCCTTTCCCCTTGCCTCATGTGATGTGCACTCAAGGAGTGAAATTATGGTCATCAAAGGCAAGGCTACAAATAATTGGAACCCATACCATTCAAACAAAATGAAAAGTCAGTAATCTTGAGGACAGCCTATGGATAGCTGGAGTCTAGCTCCCAGGTCCCTATAGCCCACAACCAACTCCCCTTATTCTCAGCAACCGCCAAAACCCTTCCCACCCACCTTGCCCACTCTGAGTTCCTTGTCATGCCGCAAAGAACTCTGAAAGGCCCTTGTACACTCAGGAGATTATTACAGGGCTGGAAGACGCCAACTCCGTAATTACAGCTGCTGTATGATTGTCATTATCCTTACACCCCAGGCTCAGTGGCTCACAAAACTTGCTGCAAAGTTCAGCTGCAGCCTCCAGCCGGCTATGGCTGGGCCGCTGCCCAGAAAGGTGGCAGTGGGTCTGATAACCTATGGGAAAAGCAAATCAGAGTTATTGCATGGAAAGGGGCTTGGTGCCCTTGAGCTACTGGTGGTGGGAAATTCTATTGTCTAGGAAAATAAACAAATGGGCCATTTTCACTTGTTATTATTTCAAACAACAGACATGGCAACGGTGCCTTCCTTTTCCAACTCAGACTGTCCCCTGGGCTGGCTATGCTGAGTCTGCAAAAGCACACGTCAGGCTTGTGCAAAGTTATTAAATGGCTGCCACTCTGAACCTGTGGAGCAGAAAGCTTGGCTGCCTGCATGGCGAGCCCTCTTCCCGACATACACTCAAAGGCTAGCTCATTCCCCCTTTGTGACACCTCTACTCCTAGATTTCAGATATTTATGTCTCTCCAGCCCCACCACTGCTGTGGAAATTAAATATAACATCCCAGGCGCCTAAAGCTGGACTGTTCTTGCATAAACCCATCCAAGGGAAAGATGGGAAATGCCAGCCTACATGTGGCTAAGAATGCCCCAAGTTTCCCATAGGTGTTGCCTGTCATCCATGCAAGGCTCTGCCCCTACATGCTCCCAGAAGGGTAGTTTCAGTGCATTTGCTCACCCACATCCTGGGGCACACCCCCATTCATGGAGCTGTGTGACACTGAGCCTCAGTGGCAGGGAATAGGCTTCGGCATTGTTCTAACTCATTTCAGATTTACAGTGCAGTTGAGTCCAGAAAAAAGTATATTTTCCCCAATAACTATCTAGTCCCTTATGCACAAAGAACTTTCCGCATTTATACATGAATAACTCTCCACCTTCCTGATACTGGCAACATAGTCTAAACTGCTCCAGAAATGACATAAAATTACTTCTCATCCAGGGGCTATTCTGGCTGGAAAGCTAGTCTGAGATTCCATGGGTATCAGTCTTTTAGGGTGATGAAGAAAGCCTCTTCTCTGTTGTACTAAGATGGGGCTCACCAGTGAAAAGCATTAAAGCAACCCAAAGTGCTTGTGTAGTTACTATCAACAGTGTTTTTCTCCCTGTGGGAGTCGATGTAGCCAGTCAATAAATATGTCATTGTATGAATTGTGTAGGGTGGTTTTGGACAGTGTCTTGTCACTATCACAAAATACCCAAGACAATTAACTTATAAAGAGAGAAAAGGTGATTTGGACTCACAATTTAGAAGGTTCCAATTTAATTTTACTTGGCCTCATTGTTTTGGGCCATTGGCAAGTTGATACAGCATGACAGCAACAGCATGTAATGGTGGTGGGGGCAGGTGACACCATGGGTCAGGGAGGAAAAGAGAAAAAAACAAATGAAGGGATGAGATTAGGTTATCCCATTCAAGAACAATACCTGATGACCTTGGAGCCTGTACCAGCCCCACCTCCCAAAGGTTTTATGGTTCTCAGTAGGGCCAAACATTTCACAGATGATCCAAACTAGCATGCCTCTGGGGTTTAGAATTCACTTCTCCAGCAAAGTAAATAATAGCAAAAGTAGAGTCTCCTCAACAGGGTCTCTGACTGCAAGAAAGCTCAGACTTCTCTTCCTGGTTTTTTCCAGGCCCACTAGACACACATTCAGCAAGTTTAGGGATCTGATTTCCTAGCCCACTCAAATCTTGAAGCTTCAACCTGAAAGAAGGGAAAACTGGCCACATCTCCCACAGCGATTGTTATAGATCATGAGGGAGCCTGAGAGGAAGAAGCAGGCAGATGGCAGCAAGGAGACACTGGAGCTATCTGAGGACCAACACTGTGCTGCAATTCTCTGGGCATCTGAAGAAGTCAGTTCAATACACAGGTAGAAATCCCAAGGATCCATGGCAGTGAGAAGGCATTCAATTATGCTTGACACAGAAAGGTCAGGGCCCCTTGAAATATAGTTCTTCAGCATGTACAGACAATGGGTAAATTATCTTTCAACGGTGCCACTGTTAACAGGACACAGAAATGAGGTATGAGATTAGGCCCACAGTGCCATGTGCGCTTTCTTTCTTCTGAGCACCCTGGCACTCTAATAGCAGACCCTGTTGTCTTTCTCAGGTAGTCAATAATTATTCTCTAAACCCACACTCACTCTTGATCCTCTTTCACATGTTCTCCAGACTGTTACATTGCAGACCTACAATCTATGTGTGGATATCAAGTTCCCAGGAAGAAAGTGATTGCTGTGATGTCACATAATGAGATGATAGAATAGACATAGTGTTCTGGACTTAAATAGTATGTTCTCACTCAGGGCCATTCAGAGTTAATGCAAAGACAAAAATCAAAGAGAAAGGGCTCAAGGTACCACCTTCATCATTTTACTTAGTCTGAATCACACGGTGTTTAGAAAATGCCAAGGTAAGCCTAAATAAGACAAGCTAAAGAGCAGCTAATAACCAGCCAACAGAAAGCAGGACCTTTGGCTTCCAGAGTTAGAAAAGCACTTAATGCCATCAAAGAGAGCTCACAACAAAGCCACTTCCAACCCCCTGAGGATCCATGGCTGAGAACATTTCTGAATGGGCAGATACACCTAGTACTGCCAGTGAGCCAACGTTGTCCATTGTGCCAGAACAAGGGTCACAAGCCAAGTTCCCAGACCATATGATTCCATTCATCCATAAGTTACTTCTTTGCTGCCATTGCAGCCATGGTGCCCTTCTTGCACAAGCTGGCTCTTAGCCCCATTAGCAGCTCCCAAGCAGGTCTGCACATTGCTCCATCTGTTCCCTGAATAATTCCAGATGGATGCACTAGCCCATAAGGGCTGGAACAAGAGGAATAAGCACAGCCCCCCCCAGGCCACCTTCTCCAGCCACCTAGACTTAATAGAGCCCTTGCCTATGGGCGCAAGGCCAAGTGGAACAGAATACACCATTTGGAACCACCTAGCAAGGCTGGGCTAACAATTTTCATGTACATGCCAGTTCTGGGAGAGCGTGAAGCCACCCACTCACGCAGCCTGATTCCCATAATAGCTTACAAATGAAGGCAGGAAAGGACACACCACTGCCATCACCTCAGCAGCAGCAGAGTTCCTCAGCTCAAGTCTGTCTTCCTGGCCTACCAGGCCAGTGAAACACTGTGGGGACAGACTGTTTTTATAATAATCAAAATGATTACATCTCATTCCTACCTTCTTTAGCTTGCCACTTTTGGTGCCCACGAAGGCCAGAGAGTGATTCTTGTAGACGTATGCGATGACAGAAGTCATGCGGTCCCTGTCTTCTGTGAAGACCGGAATGCCACGTACCATTTCAGACACGCCCAGAGGGGCATTCATATCCAGGCCACAGAAGTTGTCATCGATGGTTAGGAGCTGAAAATTAAATGGGAGAAAAATCAGAAAAAGAATAGTAGGGGCAATAGCAGAGGTGTGAAGCCAGGAAACTCCAGAGTCAGAAGACTTCTTAACAGTGGACTAATCCTTCCCTTTTTTGCATGAAAAGCTCAAGTGCAGAGAAGCTAGATGGCTTGTCCAAATTCTCCAAGTAGACAGCTACAAGCCCATAACAGCAGCATAGATCCTTGTAGGTGCCTGTCACAGTGCACCACAGCATCTTCTCCAACCCTTCCAAGTGCCATCCTGTGGATATAACTGTCCATCTTCAGTGTCACATGGAAACGTTCTATAAACACCTGGGTTCTGGTGGAAGAGAGAAGTGACCTCCATGACTGTGTCTACACACCGGCTTTGAAGCAGATGTGCTAATGAGAGCTCATGAGGATAGAATGAAGTCTGGACACCGAAAGTGAGGAGGCTGACAGGATCACAGAGACTCGCCCTGATGATCAATCAACAATGAGGGGGGTTTAAAGGAGCAAGGATTGTACTTGCTCATGCTGCTACTCTCAAATGCCCTGTCTCCTAGAGCACAATGAAGAGAGGCAGCCTTGGTGCCTACAGCAACCTTCCCCAGAACACGATCTGTGGAGCAAGCTCCCCTAGATGTTCCACATAAAAGGACCCCTTGGATAACCTCCTGGGAAACAGCCTAACACTGTGAGTCATAAAAATGGCCTTAAGAAGCCTAGTTTCAGGCTTTCCCAAATATCTCATTCTCAAACCAATCTACACTTCCAAGCACTCTGCCACCTACCACCAATCTCCTTTCTTGTTTTCTCATGATAGGAAGACAGATGCAGGTGAGACTAGCAGTTCTGGGTTGACTCAGGCTTCAAAGGTGCTGAGGACTTACTGGATCTCTGCTCCTATCTTGGACGCGCTGTGTGGCCACAGAAGCATTCCTCTGTCTTCCTGTGCTTTAACTCTCCAGACTATAAAGATGAAGGGCACAGTCCCCATCTTTTGATGGGCTATTGTAAAGCCTATCAAGCTCAGGCCTGTAAACGTCTTTGCACCTTCCAGAGAAGGATGTGAAATAAAATACAAGGTGTCGCTTTTTTAAAGGCTTAAATCCAGTTAGAGCAAGAGGCATCTGGGGAACAGCATTGCATGCTCCTGCCAACACAGCCCTGTGAAAGTGGCCAACTCAGCTCTCCAGGGCCTGAAGGGAGGCAGGGATAGGCGTCATAGAGGGAGGGCAATGTGTTGAACAGTTCTTTAACCTCTCCCCTTCTTCCACATGTGGAACAAACGTCTGCTCTGTGACTTTGGTTGCCTCCATGCTCTGCTACACGCATTTGCTCCAAGAGCTCAGATCCAACAAAACTCTCTCCCACCCCTATTTTAAAACAACAACAACAAAACAAAAGACAAAAACAGCAGTGACATTTATGATGAAGCATCAAGATCTAGTCTCACCTGCATCTGTCTTCCTATCATGAGAAAATGAGAAAGGACACAGGTGGTGGGTAAAAGATGGAGAGGAAAGATCCAGGTTAAGAGAATATGATGCCTATTCCTTGTTAGACATAACTATGGCAACCTGTCAGGTATTCCCAGGGCAGTCTGGGGTGCCCAGAAGCCTCACAGTCCTAAAATGTTGCTGATTCCGGTTTACAATGAATCTGCATCCCTATTTTCTCATCTTACATGGTGCTACAAAGATCTCTGCTGCCAGCAAAGTTTGTATTCTACCCATTTTAACCTATCTTCCTAGTAGCTGAAGCCAAATGGTCACCTACTCTGCATGAGGGGAAACTGAGGCAGGGAGAGAAGGAGCCATGATTCACAGTCCCCTTCTGCCATCATCTATACACCCCTAATCAACCTGAGGCAAGAGAAATCTAGGCTTCTCTACTTTTTTAATATATTTTTTATTACAATTTATTCACTTTGTATCCCAGCTGTAGCCCCACCCTTATCCCCTCCCAATCCTGCCCTCTCTCCCTCATCTCCTCCTATGCCCCTCCCCCAGTCCACTGATAGGGGAGGACCTCCTCCCCTTCCATCTGACCCTAGCCTATCAGGTCTTATCAGGACTGGCTTTCAAAGTCTTCCTCTGCAGCCTAGTCAGGCTGCACTCCCCAGAGGTAGCCCATGGCAGATCAGACTCCAAATGGGCTCCCTAGTAAGGGGAGCAGGGCCTGACTCTGACATGAACTCAGTGGCTGGCTTCTCTGCTTTTATCTAGAAGAGCATTTGAGTGGCCAGGGTTACCAATATTTCCCCTTAGCTGAGTGAAACACAAACAAATCAGCCACCTACAAAAACAGACTATGCAGTCAGACATCATGAAGTCATGCTGTCAGAGGCAAAGAGTGGCCTACCTGTGAGTCTCCTCCTCTGCAGTGCTTCATAGCACGGGACCCAGGTGGGGAAATTTTTACCAGAAGGAAGCTAGGGCAGCCTAGCCTGGCTGTCTGACCTGGGCATTCTGCTCTTCTTGGATCACAGGGCTCCCTGCCAGACCCTGTCAGGAGGCAGAGGGTTCTGTCTCCACACCTGTACCATGACACCCAACACTCACATTGCTTTCCCTAGTGTTGTCCTTCAGCTCAAAAGAGACTGAAGATGCACCTGGGGTCTCATAGGTGATGTAATGGAAAATGACACCCACCACCCCTGGCTTCCCTAGGGCTCAGTTTTTCCCTCTGAATGAGACTCTGGTGATGAGGGTGTGATCCAGGCCTTTAACCAAGTGAGCTACTGAGGTTCTCCAGCTGTCCTGAGAAGGACCTTTTCTTAGTTTCTTCAAAGCCGTAGCACAAGCGGAGGGATTTTTTTTTCACAGTGAAGTACTGAAAAAATATCAAAGGACAGGCTTACATAGACACTGAGCAATTTCCCAGGCATAAGTTTCTCCTACTGTCCTCCAAAGCTCACCTTCCTGCGCTGTTAAATAGCAAGACAGGGTCAGCATGAGGACTGGGTGAGGTAATGAAAAGGGCTACGTGTGTGTGACCTGGAAGCACTTCAGTGAAGAAAGATATAGTAGGTGGATTTGTTAGTGAAAATCCATCCCAGAACAGGAATCACAATGGCTGTGGGGAAGGGCCCTTACACGCTCTCGAGCTGCAGCCTCGGGATAATTACAGAATAAAAGAATCTGGGAGATGCTCCCTGCCCACTGCATATGCCCACACAGTGCAGATGCCTGTGCTTCAGGCTAATTGGCAAGTCTTGGGCAGGTGAGGATGGTACGCATTCCTGAGTATCTGGGTGATGAGGGTGCCGCGTGTTCATTCTGACCCTGGCTGGGTCTTCCCCAGGGCCCCATTAACAATATTATTAGAGCCACAGTCACAGGAGCCAGGACAAGGCTGTAATCGGGAGTCTAGCTATGCCTGCAGGCCCAGGCCTGGACTCTCCCTCCAGTCACTCCACAATGCTCATGAGGATATTCTAGCTGGCAGCGTGATATATCTTCTTCAGCACCCCCACTGTGTTTGTGCGTGTTCATGTGTGATGTGCACACAGGTTTAAATGGCGTATGGAACCCAGAAGTCAATATCTGATGTCTTCCTCAATCTCTTCCAACCATATTTTTAGAGACAAGATCTCAGGGTCCTTCACTGAACCTTAAGGTCATGGATTCAGCTAGGCTGGCCGGCCAATGAGCTGTCTTCTTTTAGGGGAAGTTTTGTCTTATGAAGCTGCCTTTGTAAGGTCCTTCACAAGGGTGCCACTTGGAGAATGCTATTGAAAGACCAGAGACAGACATTCTGTGTCTTCATACTACCAGAAGGACACTTTATTTTCTTCCCAGCATATCCCCAAAAGCCTTCCTAGGATGCATGGGGTGAAAATTAAGATGAGTGATTCACTGCAGTGCAGGGACTCTGAGGGTGAGGCCAAGGAACATGTTTTAAGCATGTTTAGACCCTTAGCTTAGTGCCTGGTTTATAATAGTTAAAACATACATAGTAAACACATGGATAGATGGACAGACAACAGGTGGATGGATAACCAAATAAAAGCTTTGATTTCCCAGTGATTAACACTATAGAATCTAGCAAATATAACAATAATTATATATATATGTATATATATATATATACATATATATACACACATACATGTGGGTACAGTATAAGATGGAGGATAGAGAACAAGAAAAACCGTGTTAGGAGATAAGAAAGGACTGAATGCTCATAAAGGACGCAAATTATAAAAAAGAATATGAAAAATGTTTTTCTAGTTTTAATTCTGTCATGAATCTTTTGTCTTTAGTGGTAGGTAAGTGCATAAAATTTATTTGATACTGAAACTGAGAACTTTAATGTAAACTTCAAGCTTCCATTTGAATGCCAACTCTAATCGGATATTTATTTGCAAAGACTTTAAATAATAAATTTTATTTAATTGTTTAATGTATAGGCTATAACTTAAGATGAGTGACTCACTGTTTTCCAGGGACCCTGAGAGTGAGGACAGGGACAATTTCATGCATCTTCGTACTCCTACCCTAGTGCTCGGTGCACACTTGGTTAAGATATATGAAGAAAATAGGTGATAGGATAGCTAGCAGGATGGTAAACAGGTAGATAGATGACCAAGTAAAAGCTTTGGTTTCCCAGTAGTTAAGAATTTAGAACTAGTCCGCTGATAGGGGAGGTCATCCTCCCCTTCCATCTGACCCTAGCCTTTCAGGTCTCATCAGGACTGGCTGCCCCACCACCTTCCCGAGGAGAAGGTGATCAAAGAGCCACTGAGTCCATGTCAGAGACGGTCCCTGCTCCCCTTACTAGGGAATGCACATGGAGATTGAGCTACCTGTGGTCTACATCTGAGCAGGGAGTCTAGGACCTCTCCATGCATGGTCCTTGGTCCATCGGTCTCTGCAGGCTCCTCTGGGCCCAGATTTTTTTTTCTGGCTCTGTTGGTCTCCTTGTGAAACTCCTGTGCCCTCCAGGTCTTTCCATTTCCCCCTTCTTCCATAAGATTCCCTGCACTCTGCCCAAAGTTTGGCTATG